CTGTTTGTAGAAAAAGTTTGTTCCCATTTTCCACTTCCATGATTCCAGGGAGTATAGTTGGTTTGCGTGTCACCCTGCGTCGCTCTGCTCCGCGGAAAAACCATGAAAAACCATTTTTTTGGGGGGGCCACCAAGGTCAACAAGCTCAACTGCCAGGAGTCTCTCCTCAGTGGCTGGGATGGATTTCGGCGACCGACCCGTGCGGTTTTTGGGCGTCTGAAGGACGGAACGTCCGCGCCCCGCCCCCGAGCAGAAGAGTCACCCAGCTCGGGAGTGGCCTACACCTTGGATCCCCTTTGAACATCATGTTGATTCCAAGCAATGGTCGCTTGATCAATGCGCATGGGACCCAACGGGCGAAGCCAGGTGAACCGGCCCCCTTGTAGAAAGACGTCAAAGAGCCACGCCCCAAATGAACTGCTTTGGCATTCGGCTTGTGCTTCGACCCACACCGTTTCCATGTCCACTCCCCTCCGACTGAAAGAGATGCAGATCTTCTTGTGACATGGGTGAGTCAAAACCTGGAACCCCTTGGGCCCCTTGGGTCGGTTGACCACAAGGTCAGGGAGTCTCTTCTGTTCATCGGTAGAGTCAACCCACACCGGAAGCGGACCGGCTCTTCGGGCTGAGAGCGCTGGGCGGCTTTTCAGGGCGACTGGGCGAGGGCGGGTTCTGGGCGCCAGGTGATCAGGGCGACTTGGAGGACATGGACTGCCACTACGCCTTGGTCCACACCTTCCATGCCTCGTGCCCCGCGCCTCGCCCAGGAACGGACGAAGCGAGGGACGAGACGCGAGCGCAGGGGTCGCGAGGGGGGGGCAGCGCCTTTCCGGAAGGTAGGTTGGAGGAACATGTTCCACTTTTAAGATCTTTTTAAGTCTATATTTGCTTTTAAAGAAGCACGACATCGTTTTTTCTCCCCCGTCAAACATCGACGACATGTCGCAAAGGGTGATTTTCGTTCAAAATCAACGACTAGTTACACAAGTCCATTTATATAGACATAAACAAACTTTAAACATAGACCTTTAAACAAGTCGTTGCTGGTTGCATCATATTTAGTATGTCGCCTTCGTATAGAATGCGGCCTGTGCCATCGAGAACATCTCACTCCTGCCACGTGGCGAAGAGACGCGTGTGCGTGAGATCTGAACTGGGACTACCCGTTTTCGCCGTTTTCGATGGTCCTGGTACAGATGAAATATGGTGCCCTATGTGCCCTTGTTCTGTCCGAACTGACCTGTCTGTCCAGTCAGTTTAGAGCTACCAAGAGGCGAACAAGGGCTGGTTTTCCCCTGCGAAAACCTTTCTGGGGACCCCCGACCGTGAGACCAACAGATGTGCGTAGCGACACGCAGAAGGTCGACTACTTCAGAATCGACGACCAGTCGGTTTCGAGACGAAAGTGACGTGTTCCAAGAGATTCATTTGAATCTCTGGCAGACCCCCTATGACTTGCAGCTTTGAGTCTGTTTGAGTCCTGTTTCTCCTTCACCAGTACGGAGCTTAATGGAAGCGCTTGCAGTCCAAACGCACGTGCTTCTTCCGAGCCGCTGTTGGCTGCGCTGAACGGAACGGCTTCCCGAGACGACGGATCGTCCCGAGTTCTCCCGAGGCGTCTGAGAGCCATCACTCCACGGGTGGATGGAACGGCTACAACATGAAGTTTTCTCAGGCGCCTGACGACCCACCAGTCGGTGGCGACGACGAGGGTCTCGCTGGTCACCGTCTGCGTCTTGCGAGTTGGGTCACATCACGGTGAGGTCCGAGATGGTGGTTCTTGCTCGATGTTTTTTTTTGCCGATGCACGGGGCTGTTCTAGATCGATCGATCCGGTGTGTTGCACTATGTTGCACCTGTAAGAGTCGGTGAAGAACATGATCTGTCGTCTTCTTTGAGAATCATCCACTGGGTTTTCTGGGGGGAATAGCATGCCAAATGCCAAAACCTCAGTGGAGAGATCTGAAGCCCCTGAAGCCGGTGGAGTGGCCGTGGAGAGGAGATGCCCATCCACAGAGACTTCAGATACCCGATGCCTTCAAACGTCGAAAGGAAAGTTGGCCTCTGGCGGTGGTGGTGGTCGTCGTCGCAATCGTCCTCCTCCTGCTCCTCGTCCTCCTCCTCGTCCTCGTCGGCGTCGGCGTCGGCATCGGCGTCGTCGTATTCGTCTGTAAGATGCTAAAATCTAGTAAAACAACATAGTTGTTCAGTAAGTCCTATTAAATCAACACTTGTTTGAATCCTGCTATATATATTAGGCAATCTGATCCTGGCTTTTTGGGGCATATCCAACAAATGTGTTTTCGTTGGCCTCTCGGGGCTGTTCTGGCCGATCCTGCGAACGCTCCTTCATTCGCCGGGCGACCCGTCGTCCAAGTTCCGGCCGACCCGTCGCTGGGTCGGAGGTTCTGGCCAACCTTTGCAACAACCAGGTGCGCGCGGGGTCACACCGGGAGCGAGCGGCGACCCATCTCGGCCATGGCGATTCACATGGCGGCGGGCGGCGGTTACGTTTTTTTGTTCCTTTTTGTTTTCATGTGTATTTTTTTCTCCACAGGATGAAGGGCACTTTTGGCAGCCTGTAGTAAATCCATGAATTGGTTGGTGGTTAAGCCCACTGACTGGTAGTGTTTAGAGTGAGTTCAATCCATTTGGAAACATGTGTCACTCATGATTCATGATGTGGGATTTAGTTGGTTTTTCTTTTGTGTTCAGTGCCAGTCTTGGTCAAACTTGATTGGACAGCCTTGGTTAGATGTCAAGTTATGTTACTTGTGAATTTAAACAGATATCCGAGCATCACGTGGGCTTGGTTTGTCCTCCACCACATTTTCGACACTTGATCAATTTCCGAGAACAAAACATCGTAGGATGTTAAAGGGTCGATGCTTCAAAGAAGTATCAGACGTGGTACCAATAATACCTCTCAGTCAGACACGTCTCAAATCCAATTCTAAGGGTATTTCGGCGACTTGTTGTTTGTCATGCCATCTCCTTTTGCGATATGCCCTGACTTGCTAACATGGACGTAGATCAAAATGGTCCCTTGGACAACTACTTTCCCTCTGCGGTGGAAGACGACTTTCCTCTGTCGAGAGGTGGTACTCTCACTGGGATTCCAAGAATATGTTTTAATATGTTTCAATATCAATGTATTTCCCCAAGAACTCTTGTTCTACTAAGGCGTTCAATCTACCGGGTCACCCGGGTCAACCGGCTTTCGAAGGCTTTTGAAGGCTCCGACGGGACGAACCTCCGACGAGCTATGCAGGCCATGCTCGGCAAGAAGACGGAAGAACTCGAGAGCCTGGTGCGTGACAGCTGCGGCGCCTCTGCGCTGGTGGTGTAAGGTCCGGTCTGGAGTTGAGTCGCTGCCATTCATTGGCACGGAATACCTTAATGTATATGGGTCCTATAATTAATATTATTATGTATAATAGATTTGATGAAATGAATGTGTTGAAATGTTTTGAACCATAGCCAGATGGGTTGAGGCTACTCTCTCGGCTATGATCACACGATGCAACCCAAGGATCTGATCTACCATCCACATCCAGCTCGACCGAAAACGCCTCCTTCTTAGCGAGGTCTCGATGGCTCGTGCCTTGCGCGTGCCAGGTGGCCAACCTGCCTACCGAAAGGGCCCGAAGAGGCCGGGGGGCCGGGGCACGGTTCGCATTCCGCTGACCGGGTTCAGCGTTCGACCGCGGAAGCCGGTTCGGTCGAGCGAAAAAGGATTTGGTGAACCAGACCCGACCAGGTCGTCCTTCGTCCTCCGGTTCCTCACCTGACCAGGGTCGTCTTCACCGGGTCCCTCGGGCGCGTGGTCTCCCTTTTGTTCCAAGCGAGTCGCGCATCGGTGGCTTTCGGAGTTGGACAGCCGCTGGTAGTCCAGTCGACCATTCGAAACATGGTCTGACTATGTCTGACTATATAATTGCTATATTATACTATATACATCTATATACACTATAGTATTACTATAATTTACTATATATTATCACTATCTATTATGACCATGTCTGAGTATATATATAGTATTGATGCCAAACAGAGTCGAAGACTTCCTGGACGGCCAGGCTTCCTTTGGATGCTGATGCCACACTTCCAGCTCCACCAGCTTCAGCACTTGAATGACCCGGTTGGATGCTGGATGCAATCCGATGACATTTCGTCGGTGTCAGCGAGTCCTTAGGAGGCTCATTAGTTGTGCCACTGTGCTGGTTTGTCCGTGATCCTGAGAAAGGTTTACCGTTTTGAGAAGGGAGTCCTCCAATTTGTGTAAAGCTTAGCAGTCAGATGCCGCCGTTGGACACTTGGCGGACTGACAAACCTGCATGTCAGCGGCCTCGCGTTGGTCTGCCGTGCATTTGGCACGTGACCTGCGTAAGCGAGATTTGAAAACGACATGCGTTTGGCCCGTTTGGCCGACAGCGGATTTGGCAGCTTCTAAGATGAACAGGACGGTCGAACAGTTCTTGATGTGAAGGTTACCTTTTGGGCAACAAGCACAAAAGTAGTCGTGTGCCCCTGTTTCTACGGGCAAACGGCTTGGAAACAGTGTTGCCACCGTGACTTGGCATTGAAGCAGTGGCCCTCGGGATGACTAGGTGACTAAGGGATGAATTTGTCAGATCCGCTCTGCAGATGGATGGTGTGGATGTTCTTCTGGGTGCCAAGGATCCCCTCTCTATCCCTCTCCATTGGCTTTAAACGAAAAATCCTTATCTTGACAAGACAGAGACCCTTCTGGAAGCCCCTTCTGGCTAGCTCGATGCATCCACTCCCTGGAACTGCATGGCAATGGATGGCATGGCCCGGAAAGGAAGACCATGAATTCCTCATACCAAACAGGGGGTGAACTCCACGGAACCATGTGAATTCCATGGAGAACTCTTTGGATTTTTCCCTTGACACCTGTGTGTGGACACGCCCTTGGTCCGAACAGAACAGCGCAGAACAGCTCTGCGGCGGGGAACACCGAAAAGACCCCCCGGCAGGTGTGGAGACCTACATGGAGCGGGTGATCTCAGAGCTGTTGCCCTGGGCGGAGCAACTCTTCGGTGTTGCGCCCGAAGCCTCCCAGAGGTGGGGGAGATCGGGCAGAGATCGGAACGCGGGTGGACGGACGGGGCGGTGGAAACCGATGGTGTTCAACCCTGGGTTGAAAAACGACGGTGTAGGTGTTGGGGGGGTGTTTTCACCATGGTTTTCCAGCAAAGTGACGAGAGGACCACCATTTCGTAGCCGGGCCAGGCGGCTCGCCAGGTGGTTTGGATGGCGAGGGTTGGTGGATCGCTTGTGGACCTGAATGGCTTGGGAATGGCTTGGGTCTGGGGCCTGAAACAGACCAAGTGGATGGCTTTCCTCTCTGGAAGACCCTGTGTAGAGCGGCTTGTATATACTTCATTTGGTTCGGTTCTCCCAAAACTGAGACATTGTGAGACACGACACGATCCACCCTGCTCACACATGTTGCAGTGCCAGAACATGGTTCAGAACACCTGGAAGAACACCTGCGATGTGATGATTTTGGGACCTTTTGGGAACCCTGCGGACCTCCAAGAAAGTCGCAGTCTTTCCTGGAGTCCAGGAAGTCCAGGGTCCTTGGTTTGAATCTGTTTGAATGTAAGGAAACGCCACAAAGAAGAGCGTCGGACGGACGTGTTGCTCGTCTCGGGGAGACGCGTCGACACACCCGCGGCCGCGGCTCCGACCCCCCCACGCGTCGACCCTTTAACCTACCTGCGAGTCACCGGCGAGTAGGTGTTCGGAAGCAGCTCTACTCGTACTATGAAAGAGCTGCCCCCCCAAAGTTCATGGCAGGATGAACCGTGCCCTGCTGAGCCCTATATTTCGACATACATTCTGATCCCAGATACTTTGGTGGCTCCTCCTTTGGCGGCATTTGTGCCTTGTACATGGCCATGCGATACCCAGGTGAGGCCATGTGGACTGGATGGAGGGGGGTGAGAACTGGAGAAGCAACGAAGCTGGAACCCTTTTGACCACTATTATTTACTTGAGATATTTACTGCATTAGGAGTCTAAAGAGTTCTAAAAGAGACTATTTGGCACCAGCGAAGTGAAGGAACTTCCGAACTAAAGTCTAAAGACCATTTTGTAGATGGTCTTGGACTCCCAGGCTATACACACACATACAGTCACGAGTCGCATACATAAAGGGTAAAGGTCATGTGGGTTCGTAAATCTTTCAACGTGTCAAGATTTTGTAGAGGCTGGATGTTCGACTTGGGCGAAGCATCCCCTGAAGCATTTGCTGGACACACCCCTGTGAACATGCTACTATTTGAGTCTCAAGTGAAGCACAGCATACCCCTGAAGATCTCTGAAGCATACCTCTGAAGCGGTCCCCAACTAGTCAATCATCCCGGTCCGGGAACGTCCAACGAATACCCACCCATGTCCTGTATAGGCCGATGGTCGACCGTGTTGAACCGAACTCAGGGGGTCCGGGTACCCCGCCACGCCTGGGAAGTGGGAGACCCCGGCACGTTTTCATACACACCTAGGCACTCAGCTCACCCTGCACCCTAGCAGGCCTGTTCGACTCCTTTTGGGCACCACTCAAGGTCGAAAAAAACGCCCTTTGACTCCATGGGACTGCCATGTCGGACTGCCGATCAAGCCAGACACCCCCCTGCCACCACCCCTGGCCGTTTCTCCGCAGTCCGACATGGCAGTCCCAGACGTGTCGCGTCTAAGGAAGGACCTTCCGAGTCACTCGGATCACCCTTGGTCCGAGCGGTTTCAAACACCTCGCTTCCCACGTCGGCCACCGCCATGTCCTGCACCTCCAGACCATTGGGCCGGCGTTTTGGTGGAGTCGCCCTCCTTCTGGGCGGGCAATGGCCGCTACATGGCCGACGTGGCTCAGAACGAGAAGGGTTGGCCCGGTGCCCCGGTGACAGTCGCTGCCCTGGTCCATCCTGGTCCCGCAAGACGGTGACGTTTTCGTTCCACTGCAGATCTCTTTGGTGAGTCTTTTGAAGGGTGAAGTCACGTCAATGACGGCCCCTGCACTGGACCCCTCACTCACCTCCCAAGCGTCTAAAACTGTCAGCGTTCTGTGGCATCAGCGGATGTGGCTCTGCATCAGGGCCGGGGGTTTCAGCTCTGCACCGTGTACACCTATGTACTGTACAGAAAAATGTTCCCAACACATATGTTTTTCACTCATCCACTCGCGCTTCAGCACCGGCTCTTGGGAGGCTTCTTAGCTATTTTTCCAGCTCCTATACCTCTTGCCGTTCCGAGGCCCAAGCGGATGTACCTGGCGATGGGGGAGTTTGAATACACCGGCTTCCGCGGCACCGAGAGGCGTCGTCTTCGCGAACACGGGTCGAGCAGAAGGGTCGAGTCTGAGAATTGGACCAGGAAGCTGAAAGATGCATGCTTTCGTGCACGTTGGTTTAAACCTCCCCCCCATTTGGATTGCAAAACCTCTTTTACCTCTCGCACTCAGGTGTGAGACTGTGCCGCTAGCATTCCACTAAACGGCATGTTGAACCCTATGAGGATAGCACAGACAGAGCGACCACCCGAGGAGGGTTCCCACCCGAGGAGGGCTCCCACCCGTGGCGTGAGCCGCCTTCTATCGGTGCTCAAGTCCAAGCAACAACCTCGCACCATGCCGGGCGATTTAGCCCGAGAATTACAGGCAGGAGTTGCCTGAAACACAGTATATTGCCAGCATTGCGTAGATGCTCAGTGGAAAGCAACATAGCAAAATGGGGGGTTGAAATAGGTTGAAATAACAGGGCAGTGGGTCCAAGCCCGGAAAGCCCGTTTCCCCTGGTAGGTTGACCTGGCTGGTCTATTCTGTTCATTTTGTTAGGAATCGGGCGGGAGCCAGGGCAGCGATGAGCGCGACCCGAAGGAGGGCGTCCACGTCCTTTTTCTCGTTCGTTTTCGGTTCAGCCAGGCCGGCTTGGTAGCGTGAAATCAAATGGTTGGTCCAGATCGGGATCGAGTCGCGACTCGATCAACGGCAGTCCCAGGAGGTTTTGGAAAGAGATGAGTACGACGAAAAGGTCCCGACATTGTGGGATCTCTTGGCCTCCGAGAAAAGCACCGGGTCCATCCACCGAACCTGTTTCGGCTCAATTCCTTCAAGGCCGGGCAGTTTGCAATGCGACGCCTTCTTGCGGGAGGCGTTGGTCGAGTGCGCAGGCCCTTTTCTTGGTGGCGGCCCAGGTTTTTCAGGAGGTGGGTAGTCGATAGGATAGAGGGAAGTGGAGAACATGTAGAACTTCAACTATCATGGACCATGACCACTGGAAAAGCGGATGTTCCAAGGGCCGCACACTTCCATGTCTGTTGGAGAGAGTAGCCCCCTAATTTCGGGCAGGAGTCGACATGAGAGTTCTGCTGGCAGAGGTACCTCGGACCCTTCGATGCCTGAAACTTGCTGGTCCGACCGAGGGAAAAGGAACTTCACCGCCTGCTGTTGGGGTCTTCGGATTTCAGGGCCCCCCCGTTCCGGGCCATGACCTATGGAAATCACCATGATTTTCAGGGACACTCCACATCCCGTTCTCCGAGCGTCCGACGGCTTCCTTGCCATTCGCCGTTTTGCGGCGCCAGGTCACTTGAGGAAGGCTACAGCGCTCCTCTCCTACCTTGAGCCTGGCGGGCGGCACAACGAGCGAGACTGGGGCCGGCGGCTGCCGATGGCGCTGCGCCACGACGGGAACGCGGTGTTCGGAGCTTGCCCCAAATGGACAAACTCAAGCAGATTTTACAATGATCCCCCTATATACAATGATAGTAATTGAGCCATCCCTTCATGTTTGCACAGTGTGTAGACTTCCAAATTGAATCCATTGGGAACTAGGGGACCTGATCCTGTGCTGTGCTAATGGTAAAAGGGGAGCTATCGTTTACTAGGTGTCCACAACGTGTATCTGGGTTTGGGAAGACACTACTGTACCTAGGCAACAGAGGATGCCCCAAACCAAATAGACAGTAACAGTATCAACAGGAACAAGAAACAGTTTCTTTCTTTGTGTTGAGGGCTTCATACGTGCACGCCCCCGGTCACGATCGGGACTGAGGAAGCTGGATCCCCTGAATGGCCCACGGCACGATGATTCCAGGTATGTAGAGTTTGAGTTTGCAGAGGTGTATAGACGGACGGCATCGAGGCGTTTTCCTCTCGCGGGTTCAATTTTCCAAGTTTCAGGCTTACCCCCTGAACCTGAGGTGATATTGGTGATATAACAATAAATCTTTGTTTGGCTGCTGAACCCAACATGCAAGCATTCCAACTTGGCGAGGACCTCCCGCTTCACATTCACGACCGGGGTTCATTCAGGGATGTAGGGGTCAAGCGGGGGTGAAACACCTAGGCGTGAGATTCTTTGTGAACCAGAGGGCTTAGAGAGTGCGATGACCCCTCATGGTGTCCTTCCCAAACAAAGCCTTTGAGGCGTTGGTTACTCTCGGGCGAAGAAGGGCGAGGCGAAGCCTTCTGGACCAGGCCAGGTGCTGCGTCCTGAAGGGACGGCGCGTGGGGACGTCCGCTTCAGAACTGCGCCCGTGGAGTCTGGTGGCCACGTTGGTGGCTCTTCCTCCGTGGCCCACCCGGTGCAGGCCCTCGCCACTGCTGCCGGGCAGTTGTTTTGAGCTGCTGGCGCGCAAGGACCAGGTGAGGCTGCCAGACTCTGGGCGCTTCCAGGCGTGGGAATCTCGGCCACAGCTCGGTTTAGTGGGACACTCAATGAAATGGTATGGGGGCCTGCTTGTTCTTTTGGTATAGTGAATTATGTTCTGAGTTTCACTAATTCATTAATTCAGCAGGAAAAGAGTTCGGCCCCGTGATGCGATCTACCGTCCGGTAGGTGCACCTGGGCTTCGACCAGTGGTCCTCGGGCGTGCGACGCTGCGACCTGCTGCCGAGTGGTTTGGGGCCCACGGAGGGCTCCGAGGCCGTGCTGGCCGCCTTGGCGACTTGGATTGCTGGTGATTTGGTGGGTGGATGGGGCTGGAAAGTGCGGGGGGTTGTACAGGCCGGTGATGATGATGATGATGATGATGATAAGGGCCACTAGCTTCAAGCCCCATTCCATCAATTGGAACGGGCTGGTGCGGGACCCCGTGCCTCATGGTCCACGTGGACTTTTTGACCACCTTGGTCCACGAGGACCTCCTGTACCGGGACTTCATCAGCCATCCTGGTGGAAATCCTCCTGGACCTCTCTTCCAGGCGGTCCCTGAGGGCGGCACGGTCATTTTGATTGTGGTTCTCTTTCTTCCGGTCTTTTACCTGATTCTCCTTTTGAGCTTTGAGACCTACAAGAACACTTCTACCGTGAGAAGACAACGATTCCGGTCAAGGAGAACCACCTCCCAGGTCCTTGCACTTGCTCCTAGAGCTAGCTGGGGTCCCAAGTCCCCAGCCAGGGCTGGCACCTTCATCCTCCTCCTCTGCGGCCTTCTTGGGGTCTATCACGAGGACTTCATGACCACGCTCAATGCCAATGCCATGCCCTGGTGGCCCGAGGGTTCCGGACCAGCCACACGGTCCGGTGAAGCCAACACGAACTTTGCCAGTCAGTTTCCCAACAAGGCAAAGCCAAGTGGCCTTGGATCCACACACCAACGTCTGGACAATAGCCAGCACTTTCCCAAGAAGAAATCCTACATTCGTGCACTCAAGCGGGCCCAACTTCATGGGCGCACATGGTACAAAGGGAAGCTCTATACGGCTCAGATGCTTGGAGTCACACCACTTCCCTGGCAGGTCTCTGACACTCCAATGACTTCCTTGGGGCAACCCAACTCATCACCACCTGCCAAACTACGGAAGAACAGGCTTCAAGGACTTAGCTGGAACATCGGCTCCCTGGGCACCTTCAAATTTGACATCCTCCGGCAATGGATGCATCAACAGCAACTTGACCTGATTCAACTTCAAGACACCCGATGGGGATTCACAGGTGATTGGACTGATAACACCTTTGCATATATCCACAGTGGATCTCATGATCGAGCAGGAGGGCTTCTTACCATCATCCGGAAGGCCTTCTGCCATCCAGATCGGCTCTCCTGGCGAGAGGTCTCTCCTGGGCGGCTTCTGCATGCCCGGCTTTACCTCGACTCCACGGGCCTTGACCTGGTCAACTTCTACCAGCATCCATGGACTGGATCTGACCAGCAATGCAGGGACAAACGCTCTGGACTTCTGGACACGTTGGATGGCCTTTTGGCAGGTCTCCCCCAAAGGAATGTGGTCATTTTAGCCGGTGACTTTAATAGCAGTTTGCCTCGGACACCGCACTGTGTCGGACTTCACGACTTTCAAGGCCGACGAGGGCGACTTTCTGGCACTCAACATCAGGATGCACAGCTCTTGGCTGACATTCTACCCAGAAGAGGGCTCCTGGCCATCAACACTTGGGACACCTCGCTTGGTCCCACCTACCAGGGAGGCCAGGGGCATCTATCTCGGATTGACTATGTCATGGTCCGGCACAAAACCAGTGATTCCATCACGAAGAAACCTATCTACCTGGAACACCTTCCAGGCAAGTTTGGCCACACCAAGGATCATGTGCCGATTCTGTTCAATCTTCCCTACAAATGGAGGGGGTGGAAGCAACCTCCCTTGGGTCTGAACCGGATCCAACAAGATCTTCTTCAACGGCACTGGCACCTTCAGAGTACGGATTGGCACCACTGGCGTCAGGACCTCGGCACCCGAATCGACAATCTTCGGGATCAAACACCAAATCTGGAGGCTCTCAACCAGGTTTTGATGGATGCGTGTCTCTCTTTCCAGCCTTCTGGGAAGTCCGACAAACCTTCAACAACCAACTATTGGTCCTGGGCCTCCACACTCTCCCGGCTCCACCTTCCTGATATCGCTCAGCGGGCTCACCACTCATCCAAGCTGGAGCAAATCTTTGGCTCTTGGCTTCGAGTGACTCGGATTCAAAAGTGGCGGAGGGCGGCCACCAAATCGGCCAGAGAAGCGAAAAAACAGAAACTCCAGGACACCATTGACACCGCCAGGCATCACTGGTCCACCAACGACACCCGACGCTACTTCAAGGTGGTCAACTCTTTGACGCCCAAACACCGACCCCCACGACCTCAACTTCGGAAGAATGAGGGCATGCTCATGTCCCCTGAAGATGAACTGAGGTGGATTCTTGACTATATGGAAGGGGTTTATGAGGGGACTGACCTGCAAGGAGTCAACTTTCAACTTCATGCACTGCCATTTGGACCAGGTGACATCACACACTCACTGCGCTCCTTGTATGGACACACCAGTGTCCCTGCGCATGTGGCGCCCAGCTTCATTTGGAAATCCATGGCTGAGGAACTGGGGAGCTTGCTCTACTCCTGGCTCTCCCAATGGATGGCTGCAGGTCACATCCCCAGGGAATGGCGGACAGGATGGGTAGTTCTACTTCCCAAGCCCAACAAGAAGGTCACTGAACCTAAAGCTTTGAGGCCCATTGCCTTACAAACACCTCTTTCGAAGACCATCATGTCAATGTTTGTTCACGAACCCAAAAAACATGTTCTTCGTGCTCTTACATGGTATCCACAATTTGCTTATTTGCCTGGGAGAGGCACTTGGGAAGCCATCTCACGTGTCCAAGCTCACGCCAGGGCAGTTCAAGCACTTCATCACAAATGGCGATATGAGGCTGGCAAAGTACAGGCACCTGGGGAGACAAAACCCCAGGTCTTTGGTGGATGTCAACTTTTTCTTGACATGACGGGCGCATTTGATGCAATGCCCAGGGAACACCTGCAAGAGGCCTTTAAACTACTTGGTCTTCCCCAAGATCTCTCCGCTCTGCTGTTGTGTTGGCATACAGAAACCTCCTACATTGTTCAATGGAAAGGACTCTCTGCCGTCCAACCCACTCACAGAGGTGTGAGACAAGGCTGCAGGGGTGCACCCTTCTTTTGGGCATGCTTTATAGCACTGGCACTTGAACGTGTGGCGGCGGAGACCTCTACCAATTGGATGAGGGAATGCTGCACCTTTTATGCCGATGACGGGCATGCCTGCTTTTTATTTCATGACTTTGATGAACTTCACTTTGGGTTGGTTTGTTTTGGGAAGCTGATCACCACTCTGGAACAACTGGGCATGACCGTGAATATGCACAAGTCAGCTGTTGTTGTACGCTGGGGTGGCACAAAACACCAACAAGCGCGGAAGCTGTATGTGAAAAGGAAGCTGGAACATCAAGTACTCCGTATTCCGAAAGATGATGGCACATTTCATGAAATTCCAATCAAAGAGAAGCACGAATATCTTGGTATTCAGATGGGATATTTTAATTTTCAGCGTGATACGATGAAGGCCAGACTTCAAGCAAGCAAACTTCGATTCAAACAAATGCATCGTTGGTTCTCCAAGAACTCCATGCACGCGGCACAGAAGGTGGCTCTATGGCAAACATGCATTCTTCCCATAGGGATCTATGGACTTGACGCAACGGGTACTGACAGCACCAGTATTCCCATATTCTCCAAGGCCATGACCACCATGATGAGACAAGCAGCAGGAGATCACTCATTTCAGACTCACAAGTCACATCATGCCTTTTTTCTTGAGCACCACCTGCAACACCCGGTTGCTGTGCTGCGGGGGCGGATGGCCTCTCAACTACACCGACACGAGGCAAGACTTGTTCAACTGCATGAGATGGATGTTCTTCACACTTTGGACTTGGACTCCCTTCGATGCTCAATCAATCTTGTTGACACATGGCTGCAGGAACTCAGCACATCAGAACCGGGCAATTCTCTATCTCTTGCAGAGGCCGGACTGGAATGTTACACCTGTGGGCTTACGTTTCGGCACTTCTATACACTCAAAAGACATGAAACTTTTTCGCATGGGATTCTTCACACCAACGGTCCTCCTCTGGATATTGGTAGAGACTCGATTGATGGCAGACCAACCTGCAGACATTGTGGAGAACATTTCATTAGCTGGCAGAACTTCCGACATCACATCTCCTCGTTCGCATGTAACAACTTCGATCCAACCAAGGCACCTCCGGAACAACTACATGCCTTCCGGACTCGGCTGCTGGACTACTATGATGGTGGAGACCTTGAACCACTGGTTAGAGATCGTCCACTCTGCTACTTTCTTTCCCAGAGGTGCATACTTTGTGGATTTTGGTCATCGAGACTTCAGCAAATGTCTGCACACATGGGGAGAGATCATGGGGACATCTATGCTCTCATGGGGGACGTTCTCCCCAATGTGGTGAGGGCTCGAGCCACCTCTCCTTGCGAACTATGTGAACAAGCCTTTCGGAGCCGGACCCACACATGTCCAGTGAAGAAGCAGCTGGGCCTTGCCTTGGCCTACCGGAAACACCGGGAGCAATTCCCGGCTAGTCTTCCTCCTGTTCCACAACCTCCACAGCGGATGGAAGCCCAATTCTCCTGTGGACTTTGCCCTCGGAAGTTTGTGACCGCCGCAGGCCTTCATCAGCATCAGGTCATGGATCATACTCACTCCACGACGACCAGGACCTTTGTCGCGGGCCGAGATCAGGTACCTGGGCAGACCCAATGTGCACACTGTCAATCCAAGTTCCTGAGTCTGGCTGCTCTCCGGCACCACATTGATGGTGGTCACTGCTCCACTCCACCAGATGAAGACCCGCCCCTCCTGTGGCATCATCCGTTGATCATCTCTGGACTTCATGGCGGGACCTTTGACCATCTCATGGCCTACAAGTCCCTGATTCGACGACTTGGGTACATCTGCGGGCTTTGTGGACATCAGTCTGGGAGCTCAGTTTCCTTACTGAAACACCTGGGGAACCATCACAATGAGCACTGGCCTCAAGCCACCTCCTATGCTGAATGGCTTCAAACGGATGGTGCCTTGCGGAACCTGGGCTGCTCCTGCCTCCGGCCGCCGAAAACACCACATGTTTGCACAGTCTTTACCCAGCTGGCTCTCTTTGTTCACCATGATCTGACCAGACTTCATGGAGGCAGTGATGATGTGATCATGTCCTTTGCTCTTCGGCTTGATCTACAAGTACTGAGCCCTACCATATCGCTCTCCTTCCCAGACCTGGACAGCAAGCTTGCCACTGGCCTCTTTGCAGAGCTCATTGAGGATGACACGCTTTGCACAGCCCTTAGCACCTGGTGTTGTCTGTGCGGGAGGCAAATTGATCCACGTGACATGCTCCAACACCTGTGGAATCAACATGCCAAACACGCCAACCGGGGCAGTCTGTTTTACAAGTACCTCACCATGTTTCAAGTGAAGCAAACAATCTGCTCAATTTGCAAGTGTCATCCCACCGCAGCTCAGTGCCCGATTCTCCTGCAACTGGCCTCACTGCTTGCCATCCTTCATCATGGACATGGAGACGGGGGAAGTCTCCGAGATGCGGGGAGCACTGAACCAATGGGTCAAGATGGAGGTCGACGAGGAGAAGAGTGCCAAGAGGCCCCGATCCATCACGTCGAATGGAGGGAAGGGGCAGGGAAAAGGAAAAGAAAAGGCCAGGTGAAGAACCAGAACACCACTGGAGAGTCCACACCCAACACAAACAACCTGCTGCAGGTGCTGAGCAGGCTAGTGCTAAGGCACGAAGACACCCTCCAGTGTCTGGCCACGGAGACGGACTTCTTCGTTTTTTTGAGCGCGGGCCCAGGGTCCATCCTACCTTGCATGATGACTCAGACCACAACCTGGCACCAGACACCACAAAGCGAGAGGACACATCCATTGAGGATCCTGGTTCTGAAGGCACTGCTGGAAGAATTGGTGAAGAGGGCACAGAAACTTCAATCCACGGCTTGCTCAGATCCCTTGATCCAAACATTACAACGCCTGGGATTCCTGAAGATCGACCCGGAGAATGGGAACCAATTCTCTTTCCCAAGGATGAAGTGGGATCATCAGAAGCAGGTGATGGAAGCCCAAGAGGATGCTCCACTCACAGTCCAGCAGGCTCTGCACACCCTATCTCGGATGCTCACTCTCTTGCAACAGGAGGACCTGATCAAGCGCTTTGGGGCCCTGCGTCCGGCTCAACAGATTCAGAAAGTCATGACCACGGACACCGACAAGCCCTCCACCGTGATTCCATGGCGGGTCACCTTGGCCTTGACCAACCCCCACTCCACCGAGATGAGGGGGCTTTGGCATCAGCTAAGCCACTCTGGGCTTTGGCAACTGATCTTGGGCCGGATGCGACCTGCGACTCAGCACAGGACACCTCTAGCACAACACCTGGGCAAACTGCTTGGGGACCTCTGATCCAGCCTGATCAGGCACCACTGAGACCACTGACGAATCCGGCATCAGCTTGCTACATGAACTCGGTGGTCACGGGATTGGTGTGGAGTGCTCAATGGGCAGGAGGCTTGAGTGAGGACCACTGGTCCAACTTTCCGAGGGTCTTTGAAACCATTGCAGATGTGTCACCAGAGGGAGCACCACTTCTATTGTGGGCAGATGGGCAATGGACCACCTTACTTTCCACGTGGCCGGAACCTTTTAGACAACATGATGTCATTGATTTTGCTCATCACCTTCTTCAACAGCTGAACCCCAACTTTCTCAGTTGTTGTTGGGAATCCCGGCTGGAACAGGATGGGGAAATCCGAGTGGTGGATCAAAGTGCCCTGGGGTGCCCTTTGCACCTATACATCTGCAGTGAGCAAAAGAATGCATTGCTGCCGACCGACCTGCAAGGTTTGATTTCAAACTGGAGCCTGGCATCTTTCGGTCTCCATGGGTTGACGGAACCTGCAGATGTCACATGCCTCCACATCGATCGCTTCGACTCGAGGGGCAAGAAGAATCGAACCAGACTCAGCTGGGACTCCAAGGTGTGGATGCCTTTCTTCTACAACAACAAGCTTGGCATCGACCACATTCCCTTTGTGGTCACGGCAGTATCCTATCATTTGGGCTCGGAGCCCACCTGTGGACACTATTGCACGGCGGTCCTGGCGGGTGGCTTCTGGTGGGTCTTCGACGACGGCTCCAAGCCGGAGAAGTTCGATCGGATCCCAACTGTGATTCAGGAGAACTGCTGTCTTCTTTGGCTCAACTGCACGCCGCATGGAGGTGCAGAACCAGTCTCAAAATTGACGGAGGAATCTCCCATTCTCTCTGAGGAGGAGAAGCTTGCGCACATCATCCATGACCCCTCCATCAATGACGACTGGCATCACAAATGGCTCCAAGCCATTGACAGGCTTGATGCTGACATCCTGGTTGACCATCCGGGACTATGTCATCGGCTGGTGAAGAAGTGCATCATTTGCCAAAGTTGGCCTCGTGACATGAATGCACACCTGGAAGTTGCACATCGAGAACTGTGGGAGGCCTCCCTGCCGGTGGCTGAAAAATGTGGTGCTGCCTTCAATGCCAAAGCACACCCAACCAGGTGGTGTGCCTGCCAGCCATACTACACCACTGAGCTGTCTGAGGACCACCCGTGTCCATGCCTACGCCAATTTGGCATTTTGCACTTGGCATTGCGAAAAGGCCAGCCAAGTTCTGCCAGATCGAATCTGGCACGCTTGCTTGATTTGACCTTCAGCTAACTGCTGAGGCTGGCTCGTCCCTTCGGGGACCAGGCGGATCAATGGATCCACGCCATCATCACTCGATGAGCGTAGAGAGAGAGATGATGATGATGATGATGATGATGATGATGATGATGATGATGATGATGATGATGTAGGACGGTGTGAAGACTTTTATGGAAACCGTTTGCCAGGCAAATCCAGGTCAACCTTGCAGCCACTGATTTGTTCCACCTCCCAGAAAGCAAAAGCCAGAGTTTGCTGCTGGAGGCTCCAGCAGTCACAGGCCCCTCATGGGCCCCCTGCCCGACGCCCCAAGATCACTCGCCAGCACCAACCCGGAACCCTCCAGCACCTCCAGAGCTTCCAATAGAAAGGTTGAACAGCCCCATAGCCCATCCCATATGTACCACTACAGGGTCCTATAAGGTGTCTCAACCTCTCTTGGTTTCCAGGCTTATGCTCCAAGCTCCAGCAGTTCCCTTCACTTCGCCTTCACCAATGGCGCTCCTCGGCTCACGCCTCCGCGGGTTCCGCGGGGGGCGGGGACGTCGCGGAGGGATGCGGCGGAGGTTTATGCGGAGGTCTGCGGGGTGGGCAGAGGGCTTATCAGATTTGATTGTAATCCCCTGCTTGTGATCGCACGATCTTTTTCGTGCTGTAGGTGGGACCCATGTGCATATTTCTTACACTTTGGGTGCAAGAGGACACATCTTCAAGCCTGAGGTGGACTGGGACAACAACCAAGAGAAGAACTACGAGCTCCCAGTTGGCCGATGACCTTCCGTTTGAAGGAGCGCGCTTTCCGGGGCGTGGACCGTTAGGGAGGTCAACACGCAGAGGTTGGTGCGACCGGACCGGCACCCATAAGGGGTGTCTATCGATAGCCCCTCAAAGGTTACCACTGAACTTGGGGGTCCGGATATGGGATGATATGGGTGACCAGGTCATTTTAGTTCTCTCTGATGATATACAGTGGGTTCAGAGTAGATGGCACTGGCACCCGAAGATGTCTTTTATGAGGGGGTCCTTACAAACCACCTTTTGCATCCTTTTGCCAATTGTGCCATCTACTCTGAAGTCACTGTATTATATAAATGTGAGGGGGACGACTTGTAGAACTATGCAATTACTAATTACGTATAGTATAGACTTCATGCACTGCTATGGGTATAAACGATGGTATGTGGTACACCAAACTCACCATGGGTGTTCAATGGTCAAATCGGTCTCACGTTTGCATTTTTTAAACATGGAATTCAACCGACCCAGAAGCCATTCTCATTCATTGGCTGGGTGTTCACGGCAACAAGTTTTGACTCGCCCACTGACTCCCCACTGCCACTGGACGCCCCAGTACCACGCCTCCAGGCTAGTCCGAGGGGAGCTCTTGATGTGAGCATCGCTTGCCGTGCAAAAGCAGCGAATGCCGCGCGCCTCTCACTCCGTGACATCGCGGTTTTTGGTCGCGCATCGCTTGGAACTGCCACTTGAGACCACGCGTTTCGCTTGGGAGAAGGACACGTGCAGCCGATGTTCACCGAGCGGACATCGGACCCCTCGACTATGTCCGGGCGGCCGGGACCTTGCTTGACCGATCTGGACCTGTCTGGACCGGGCTCCAGGTGAAGATTGACCCATTCAAGTTACCTCACTAGCATGGAAGTGGATGGCATGGTCCCTTGGAAGACTACTTTCCTTTATGAATGGAGGGTTTTTCACTTCCATGTTAGTGAGTCGGAGTGTACTATGGTCCCCCTTCCTTTCTTCCCATTCCGAGTTTCGTGACTGCTTGTCAGTTTGATGGGAGACGCGTTTGGGTAGCCCTCATGTTACGGAGGGTCTCGACCGCTTGGGGTTGTCATACCAGAGAAGCTGTGGAGATCTGTGGAGGATGCAGAGCATGAGTGAGCATGATGGAATCATGATGAACTTGTTTGTGTGTCCTTTTTT